CCTGAGAGAGACATGAGTGATACTACGAAGCAAACCACTTCAATGAAGCAGGAGCCAAAAAAACCCCACAAGTCACAACTTGTCACAAAAATTAAGAATTTTCTAATTCCTGGGGGCTTAAATGCTACCATTGAGATTGTGTATGGTGGTGCTATTCCAAGACAAAAAATATTGAGAACAAGGGTAATACCTCACCAACACCATGGATCATTTAATCATATCAATGGTAGGTTCTTCCTACCATCACCTCCCATCACCAAATGTCAGCTCAATCCGTTTTCTAGTTTTTGTGCAACCTTGCGAACAGTCAAACACACACACACACACTGACAATTGAAACGCTCTTTCTGTTGGCTGGGTAAAAATGGGGAATATTATGGGTCTATGTGTTTGAAAAGAGACAAGTGAGGCACTGGAGTAAAACAAAGGAACAGGAGACCTGGGAATTTAAAAATAAATGTAGTCGTTCTGCTGTGAAAAGCTTACTATACTTTTCTGAGGTTTTATGTTATGTAGCATGACAGACTACTGCACTCTGACATAGAGGACCAGCTGTTTTGTGTGATTTTACCCCAAATTCTGCACAGATGGTGAGTTATTACAGCAAATATTCATGCAACCAGAACCATTTCACCAGCGCATCAACAGCAAAGACAAGATTCTGACATAAATTACAACAGATGCTTCCAACAAACCAAGCTTTTACAAAAGAGTCCTCTAACAAGCTCAAACCACCAGCCGTTCCAATCAGAATGCTCTGCTGACCTCTTGAGGCTGAAATGACAAGATAATTATCACTTAAACGTATATAGGAGGATTTTCCCAAATTCTAGGAAGAACCGCCCTCTTCACATTTTGAAAAAAAAACTGTTATTTGAGGAGTACCAGAATGATTGATTTGGAAGACCAAGAAAATCCTCCTATATACCTTTAAATCTAAGGCTATGGAAAACAGAATTATTATTGTAATGTCTATAAGTGCGTGTAACATTTTATTTTTTTACTTCGGCGTTGTCATGACTTGTAACAAAACATTTATTAATCCATTTCCGGGTTGGCGGGGTGGCAATCAGAGCTGCCACCCAAGTCTCAAAAAAATAAAATAGATCACTAAAAATAACTAACAATAGTATTAAAATGCAACAACATTTCAGGTCTCAGCAGCAGAGATGGTGTAACTGCTTGGTGTGGACAATATTCTCTGCTCTAGTCCAAAGTAAAATGCTGAATGCTTTGTCAGCATTTTTCAAAAAGTTAACATTCCTCCAGTGAATTTTGACCTGACCCTATGAAGGTTATTTTGTGTTTTTATTATCAACACTTTTTTTTGCTTTTGAATTTTATAAACTATACCAAAAAAAAGTATGCGAAGACGTTCTGCTCGCTCAACTCCTCCACCTTCTAGCATTTTATCTCAGTTTCGATTGTACATCCTTCAGAGCCTCTCTGTCTCTTGATTGAAAGGCCTGTTTCTTCTCCTTCAACAGGGCCTTAAGTCATGACATGTCAATGTGAACTTAAGAGGGTTCATGGGAGTTCGCCCAACCTGTCCACATGTGCTTTGTGGATTTGAATTGAATCTTGTGGTCCCCGAACCGGACCCCCTCCTGCCCCTGGCTGCGCCTAGAAATTCTGTCCATAAAAACAGTGAACAGAACCGGTGACAAAGGGCAGCCTTGGTGGAGGCCAACATGCACCGGGAACAGGTCTGACTTACTGCCGGCAATGCGAACACAGCTCTGGCTCCGGTCATACAGGGACCGAACGCCCCTCAGCAGAGGACCCCGGACCCCGTACACCCCGGGAAACACGGTCGAGCGCCTTCTCCAAATCCAGAGCACATGTGGACAGGTTGGGCGAACTCCCATGAACCCTCGAGTATCCGATGGAGAGTATAGAGTTGGTCCAGTGTTCCGCAACAGGGACAAAAACCACACTGCTCCTCCTGAATCTGAGATTCGACCATCGGTCATAGTCTCCTCTCCAGTAGACCTTACCGGGGAGGCTGAGGAGTGTGATCCCATGATAATTGGAACACACCCTCCGGTCCCCCTTCTTGTAGAGAGGGACCACCACCCCTGTCTGACACCCCATTGGCACCGCCCCCGATCGCCACGCGATGTTGCTGAGACGTGTCAGCCAAGACATCCAGAGACTTAAGATAGTCAGGACGGATCTCATCCACTCCCGGCGCCTTGCCACCATGGAGACCTCAGCCAGGGAAATAGAAGTATCCGCCCCAACATCCTCAGCCTCTGCCTCCGGGACGGAGGACGTGACGGGGGGATTGAGGAGAACCTCAAAGTATTCCTTCCACCGCCTGACAATATCCCCATTCGAGGTCAGGAGCTCTCCACCCGCCCCATTCACGGTGTTGGCAAAGAACTGCTTCCCCTCCTGAGTTTGCCAGAATCTCTTCAAGGCCGACCGATAGTCATGCTCCATGAACTCCTCCCAGTCCTGGGTTTTTGCATCTGCAACAGCCCGGGCCACGGCACGCTTGGCCTGCCGGTACTGGACAGCTGCCTCAGGAGTCCCACGAACCATCTTGGCTCTATAGGACTCCTTCTTCAGCCTGACGGCATCCCTTGCTGCCAATGTCCACCACCGGGTTAAGGGGTTGCCGCCGGGACCAGCACCAGAGACCTTGCGACCACAGCTACGAGCTGCCACATCGGCGATAGAGGTGGAGAACATGGTCCACTCAGAATCAATGTGCCCCTCCTCCGCCGGGACCTGGGAGAAGCTCTCCCGGAGGTGTGGGTTGAACGTCCGTCTGACAGGGGGCTCAGCGGGACGTTCCCATCAGACCCTCACTCCACGCTTGGGTCTGCCAGGTCTGACCGGCTTCCTCCCCTGCCAGCGGTTTCAACTCACAACCAGGTGGTGATCGGTTGACAGCTCCGCCCCTCTCTTCACCCGAGTGTCCGAGACACGCGGTCGAAGGTCAAATGATAAGACGTTGAAGTCCCCAGGAGAATAATGGAGTCCCCGAGCGGTACACTGTCCAGTGAACCCCCCAAGGACTCCAAGAAGGCCGTCACAACAGTGAGAGACTTGTCCCCGATCCGGAGGCGAAGGGACGCGACCCTCTCATTCACCAGGGAGAACTCCAACACGTGGCGGCTGAGATGGGGGGCAATGAGTATGGCCACCCCCGCTCGTCGCCTCTCTCCGCGAGAAACACCAGAACAGTGGAGCGTCCAACCCCTCTCAAGGAGTTGGGTTCCAGAGCCCAAGCTGTGTGTGGAGGTGAGGCCGACTATCTCTAGTCGGTATCTCTCAACCTCCCCCACGAGCTCGGGCTCCTTCCCCCCCAGTGAGGTGACATTCCACGTCCCAAGAGCCAGATGTTGGGTGTGCGGACTGGGTCGCCAAGGTCTCCGCCTTCGATAGCTGTCCAGTCCTCTCAACAACACGCCACCATGGACCCCTCTGCAGGTGGTGGGTCCACAGGAGGGACTGCCCACATCGACCCGGCCACCAGGCGCTCGCGTTCGAGCCCCGACCCCAGGCCTGGCTCCAGGGTGGGGCCCCGGCTGCGCCATGCCGGGCCACGTCACTGATCTTCTATTAGTGCTGTCCATGTTGGCTTCGGACTACGCTTCGTTTGAATCGTCACCCGAGACCTGTCTGCCATGGGAGACCCTACCAGGGGCATGAAGCCCCAGACAGCATAGCTCCCAGGATCATCCGAGTACTCAAACTCACCCACCACGTTAAGGTGGCAGTCCAGGGCGAGCATTGTGTAACTAATACGACTGAAATTTAAAATGTTTTATTTGTCATTTCAACAATAATTGGTTGTTTTTGTGCTCCAGTGCGAGCAAAGGTGTTATACTGAGTGTGGTTCTGAGTTGCTGGTTATACGTGTTTGTTTTGGACCCACCTCGTGACAGTTGTGCCTTACACAACGTGCAGTCCGCTATACTCTTGTCACTCGTTTACATTAAAAAACTTTAGTTTGGTATTTATAAAAACATCTCAAAAGCGTGAATACATTTTATTTCACTTCCTGATTGTTGTTCCTTAGTGTGTGTCTTTCACGTACCATTTTTGATCCTAGCATGGCAAAAAGTTAAAGGAGTGTGGATATTTATGCAACCCACTGTCCACACCAAACATTGAAAATGTTCACCTCTTTGTTTCACCTGTTTGTTCAAGTGAAACAGAGAGGTGAACAACAAGACTAGGTCAGACCAGGTCAATAATGATCTGTGTTGAAGATTGTGCAGACAATAGCAAATTCATAAGTGATAGACTGCTACACCTGACTCTGTAATGAACACAGTTAAGGAAGAGAATGTTTTCATTACGGCAGGGCTTGTGGAGGTGGTGTTGGCTGAACTGGTGCCAGGCTGTCAGCACGAGCACCTCAAGCGTCACTTTAATGGATAACACAATCAAGCTCCAGCATCAAACTGAATAGAGCGTGAGTCTTGGCATCTTTGTATGCAGAGTGAGTCTGACATTTACAAAGGTGATTCTTTAGTAAAACCATTAGAATAAGTGTTCAAAGAGTCAGTTTCTCTAATGTGTTACAGAGAAACATCATATCCTTTGTGAGAGCTTCTCTGCTGCCTTTTATTCAGACAGGTTATCTCACCTGCTGCTTCATCACACTTTTTAAAAATTTCACTGCTCATAACAAACTGACAGGAAGAAATGTGACTGACTTTTCACTGGCAAAACAACAGATACATTTTTGATTAATAAAAAAAAATAAAAAAAAAACATTATTTTTGGTATTCATTTTTAAAGCTTTGTAGAAATAAAGAAACTTTTGAAAAATATTCATTTTGGGCTGGTTTGTATCGAAATTTTAGAAAACTATTGGAAACTAGAAAGTCAAATATTGTCTTTGGTGGTATTTGGTGTGCACTACCTATTTCTACATTGTTTTGAAACCCAGAAATGCTTGTCAAATTCCCATATTGTTGAAATATATTTTCCCTGTAAAAACACCAAGGCTAGCATAATGCATGATAGAGCCTGTGCCTTTAAGCGCCCCAAAGCTGAAGACATAACAGAAGACATAACTTAGAGGAGCATGTAACAAAGCTTACTTTTGCAAGGTATTGCAATCAAAATGCCTTATTTTGCAAATTAACATAAAACAAAAGAAAAATCATCTGGGGTGGGTTGGATGTTAACTGCACACACACTAGCTATTGTTTTTTACTCAAGTTCCCTGTGACCCAAACATGAGAAACAGATGCAAAAACAAAAATATTTTCACCCAAATATACACACTGTGATATCATTTGGATTTAGCATTCTAAGACTATTCCTGCCTCAAGTAATTCAGGAAATGCTGATTCATCAGTCTGTTTGGTTTTGCAAAAGACTGAGGCCACAGTTCATCTGCAACATCAAATATTCAGCACACATTTCCTTTTCTTTCCTGGGTCCTGATCTCCATCTACCAGCACTGGGCTGAATTCAGATTCTATTTTCCTCAGAGACCCTCAACATCTTTGCAGTGACTGTGGCTCTGATTAGGAAGATTAAGTTTGAATGCAGAAAAGGCAAGTCTTCTCCTTTTTCCCTGCATCATCATAAGAATTCTGAAAGACAATAAGTGTCTTAACCATTTATTCATGACTTAACTGATATAAACCGAAGTAGGGCACCAAAAACATTTAATCAATTGAGATCAATATTCAAGCAGTCATATGCACAGAAAAGGTGATGCAACCAGATCAATAATAATAATGTTTATCAATGACAGTACCACAGATTCACACAGCATTGCTATCCTGAAGAGTTAAACACTACTTGAACTATCTCTAGTTTGAGTTTGATTATTTTTAGTCAATCACAAAGTGATTAAAAAAAATCATTGATTCATGGGCACCATGATCAAGCGATGAGGCTAAGTCAAACATGACTTGAAAACTATCAACGAGAGAGGAGCGCTTGGTAAGCAGCATACACAGCTGCTTAGGCTCAGTAGAGATAACATCAGGCTGAGTAAGTTAGGTCACCTGTAACTTACATGCTCCAGTTTGTCCCGTCTGCGCAGCCAAACACTGGCTGAGTAGTCCTGCTGCTGCACTGCTGAGATGATACTGACGGCGGTGGGGGTCCCAAACCCTAACCCCTGCCCCCGGTGGTCCAGAGCCACCTGAGCACGGGAAACACGCACCTCCATGGGGCGGCGGCCAATGTTAACTACTAAGATGAGGAATTTACCTCAAGAAAAAGAAGTTTGGCATTTCCTTTCTCCACTGAAAGGAAATATTGTGCATGGTAATATCCAAGATAGCTCTTCAGATCATGAAGCAACATGATGTCAGGTTTTATTTTTTGGTTAAGAAAAACCATGATTTTATCCATAGTCCAAATGTCTTCACTTCTGTTGAGACTTGACCTGTCTCGAAACTTAGAAATCCTTGAGGCAGATGTGAAGCTTGAAAAAATTATACAATCCACAAACAAGTTATTCTATATCCATCGTCTCTGATCAAGGAGCCCACTGAGTGGCTAGGGCTTCCCCAATAAGTGTGTGTAACCAGGACAAGAGGCTGGTGGGAGGAGAGAGAAAGATGTAGAAAGAGAGAGAGCTGATGCAGCAGCGAGGAGGGAAGACCCTGTAAAAAGCCCATACTGTAGAGCCACTGCCTGGAGTACCTTTAATAATACTTTAGAGCTGCACATAACTTAACACGGAGCAGGACAGGGACTGAGAGTAAGTTCTGATTTATTACTCCCTTTTAGAGCAAAGAGGCTTTTTGCTTCACTGGGAAGACGGCCAACTGCACAAGAAAAAACATCTGTCCATCACGTCACGTAAAATGTGTGTGTAGAATAATAATCAAAGGGCAATGTGTCCATGTTTTAGAAATATATGAGATAGAAAGAACTGGCCCTTCTGAGTGGTGTAAAGTAACGGTAAATCTGTCAGGCGCAATCCTTCAATTTAAATAACTCCTGAGATTTCCAATTTCAATTACAAAATCATAAACATATCCAAACCAAATACAATACATAAACAATGGATACTTTGTGAAACCCAGGGTTTTGGTCTGCATCTAAACCTCAGCATCCACAGTGATGAATCCTGGCTGAACCTGAGCAGCAACAAACTTATTTGCGGCTGAAGGTTTGGTTATAGTTGTAGACACAGAGACGGTATTTTCTTAATTGTATTATTGACCATGATTTAACCATCCCACATTTAACTTGTCTTCTTCAGAGACAATACATTTATCATCAATTATACTTCTTCATGCTCAGACAATAACATCAAACATGCATTGCACACACTCACTGTTGCTCGTGGCAGAGTGGTGCAGTGTGGCCGCAGTGCCCGTCTGACTCCACCTGGAGAGGTTCTCTGTGCCAAAGAAGCAAGAGCCAAAAAAGTCTAATTGGCTTTAGCCTAAGAAGCATAATACTATCTTTTCCCATGTGTGACAACCTCAACCCCCTATAGAGCGCCCTCCATTTAAACTGTAGCAACAATCAGACAAGGCACATAGCCAATTAGTGGCACACACCCAGTAACTTTCAAATGCTTAATTTCAACCCCAGTGATCTTTTCTTATGTCTCCAGTTCTCTTATGTCTCCAGAGTGGCTACAGAGAACATCTCATTAAATTCACAGTAGCTTGTCACAATAATTCAAATGATGAACAGAATAAATGGTATACCATTCTTAAACATCCAGGTTTACTCTATCCATTAAAAGTATTACTTCATTCAGTCATTTGAAAGATAAAAGTGCCAACATTGCTCTCAATCCAACCTATGTCCAATAATATTTCAGCCAGCTAAGTGTTTCACAAAACAAGAAATCCTGAGTCACTCCCATTAGTGTATTACATTTTCATAACATTTTGCAATGATTCAAGGAGAAAATTCCTGCCAAAATGTTGTAAAAAAAAACTGTGTTTAATGAGTCCAACTCTAGCTGTCGAGCCTAAGTCTCACAGATAAAAATAGATTAAAGATACAACTTCAGAGCAGAGGACAGGTTAAAGAACCAAATTATAAAGTGCATTCAAATTGCATAAGATTGCAGTAACACATAAAATATAGATTAAAGATGGCGCCTCGTACGGTCGACAAGGCTCTTTGCTGCTCTCTTATTCTTTTGTTTTCACTTTTTAATTGTGCATCTGGCTGTTCCTACACCCGTGAGGAACTCATGAACATCCGACCCACCGTTCCCATGGACCTGTTGCCTGTTTTCTTGGCATCTGCGGCTGATTTAGTCCATGTTCTAGCCAAAAAAGTGTGGGCCCGTAAAAGGGGAAAGCGCGGAGGCCTGCTCGTGCGTCTGAGGAGAAGAGGAGCGCGCACGGCTCTCCCCGGCATTTTTATCTCCAACGTACGCTCACTGGGCAATAAGATGGACGAACTCGGCCTGCTCATGAGAAGAAACAAGGACTTCGCCACATCCTGTGTCCTCTGCTTCACTGAGACCTGGCTAAATGAGCGGATCCCGGACTGCGCTCTGGAACTGCGGGGCTTTGGGCTGTTCCGCGCGGATCGCCATTGTGCGATATCAGGAAAGAGCAGAGGCGGAGGGCTGTGTTTCTACGTCAACACAAACTGGTGTAACGATGTGACAGTGATCTCCAAGCACTGTTCTCCTGCTCTGGAATATCTTTTCATTCATTTTAAACCGTTTTACTCCCCTTGTGAATTTGTTTCATTCATTCTTGCCTCTGTTTACATACCGCCATGCACGGACGCGCGCAAGGCTCAGTGTGCACTTGCAGAGCAAGTACTGTGTATGGAACGCTTATACCCGGACTCTCTGATTATTATCCTGGGGGATTTTAATAAGGGAAACTTGAGCCAGGAATTACCCAAATACAGACAGTTTATCAAATGCCCGACCAGAGAGGAGAACACTCTGGATCACTGCTACACCACTGTGCGCGATGCTTTTCGCGCTGTTCCCAAAGCAGCCTTCCAACAAGGACCAGGGTCATCTATAACAACGACAGACCCTGGTTCACTGCTAAACCGCGGCAGCTCAGGAAAGCAAAGGAGTCTGCTTTCAGGGAGGGGGACCGCAGCGGCTACAAGGCAGCTAAATATCAGTTCAGGGACAAACTGAAAGCAGCCAAGTCCCGGCACAGAGAACAACTACAGGAGCAGTTTGGTAACAACGATACTGCTTCTGTCTGGAGGGGCTTACGGGAGATCACCAACTACAAGGCCAAAGCCCCCCCTGTGCTGATGACCACAAGCTAGCTGACAAACTGAACTTTTTTTTCAGTCGTTTGATGCTGCCCCTAACACCTCTCCCTCCCCCACCCCCCATTACTCTAACGACCCACCCATCAGCCCTGCCCCCAGCCTGACAATAGCCTCTAAAGATATTAAACAACTCTTCTTGAGGCTGCACCCCCGCAAAGCTCCTGGCCCGGACCACGTGTCTCCGGCCACTCTGAGACACTGCGCCAGTGAGCTTACTCCACTGACATTTTCAACTCCGCTCTGCAGTCCTGCCATGTCCCGGCCTGCTTCAAATCCTCCATCATTGTCTCCGTCCCGAAGAAGCCCAGGATCACAGGACTCAACAACTACATGAAGTAATTTGAACACCTGGTCCTCTCCCATCTCAAGTCCCTCACCTCCCCCCTCCTGGACCCCCTGCAGTTCGTCTACAGATCTGTTGGCTCTGTTAGAATGTCTCGGACTCTCGGATTATAAATACAGGAGCCCCACAGGGCTGTGTTCTTTCTCCCCTGCTCTTCTCCCTGTACACCAACCACTGCGCCTCCAGCCACAACTCCGTGAAGCTGATCAAGTTCGCGGACGACACCACCCTCATTGGACTCATCTCCAACAACGATGAGTCCGCCTACAGGAGGGAGGTGGACCGGCTGGTGTCCTGGTGCAGTGGTAACAACCTGGAGCTGAACGCCCAGAAGACAGTGGAGATGATTGTGGACTTCAGGAAGAGCACTGTGCCCCCGCCCCCACCCTCCTTGATGGACTCCCCCATCACCTCTGTGGAGTCCTTCCGTTTCCTGGGCACCACCATCACCCAGGACCTCAAGTGGGAGCCGACCATCAGCTCCCTCATCAAGAGGGCCCAGCAGAGGATGTACTTCCTGCGGCAGCTCAGGAAAGCCAAGCTGCCTGCACAGATGTTGGTGCAGTTCTACACGGCCATCATCGAGTCCATCCTCACCTCCTCCATCACCGTGTGGTTCGCTGAAGTCAGTCAGGGACAAGCAGAGACTACAGCGCATTGTGCGCTCTGCAGAGGAAGTGATCGGCCGCAGCCTTCCATCGCTGCAGGACCTGTACGTCGCCCGAGCTCGAGGCCGGGCTGGTCGTATCACAGCCAACCCCTCTCACCCTGCACATGGACTATTCCAACCACTCCCCTCAGGCAGGAGACTGCGGTCCATCAGGACTAGAACCTCCCGCCACAAAAAAATGTATTCCTTAGAAGTGTTTTTTATTCTTTATTTTTATTATCTCTTTCTGACTGATGCACTGAGCCAAAGCAATTTCCAAGTCTGTGACTTCCTGTTACTTAAGGGGCAATAAAAATGATTCTGATTCTGATTCTGAATAAAACAAGGGGTACTTGATAAGCCAATTAAACCATTATTTACGGAGTGAACTTTCTACTCAGCAATCACTCAAAGTCAATATAACATATTGAATGTACACAAAAAACTGTTTTTCAAGCCAACATTCAGACTTATTTTTTTTGTTCTTTCTATGGCTCTCAAACTTTGTTTAAACCAATTGTCGAAAATCAGACACATAGGCAGGGATCTTTGCACACCAGAGCAACCTGGAAGTTTATTCACAACAGGTGGTAGATTCAGGCAGAACAATAAACAGGGAAACATTATATATTGGAATTTGCGTCATCATGAAAGAGCCAAACCCAAGCGTCAGTCAGCTAAAACAACGGATACACAATCGTAGCAGATATACAATCAAAGAACATTGTGTGTCTTGTACTTCTATTTTATCTTGTTTTTGTGCCATGGCCTTCTATTGTTCATACAATACTGCTGAAGGCAATGTTTTATCTCCATAACTTTGTGATGCTAGCTTTTATTCTTTACAGACAAAACTTCTCTGAAGTGTGAATAGGAATGTGCATTTGTCCGAAACACATCACTATAATGACTGCGCCTGTGCTTCTTTGACCTTTTCTTTTGGTGGCATCCAAACATCAGCCAAGTCAGCCAAGTGCACACAGCCAAAATCAATAATGTTGATTCAACAGCAGAACAAAAGGCATGCCTTACCTTCAGTCTGTTGCTCCTGAAGCCTGCAACTTTGACAAGGAGATGGTTTAGTGTAGAAGGTGGTCCAGTGTAGACGATGGTCCAGTGTAGAAGGTGGTCCAGTGTAGAAGGTGGTCCAGTGTAGAAGGTGGTCCAGTGTAGACGGTGGTCCAGTGTAGAAGGTGGTCCAGTGTAGACGGTGGTCCAGTGTAGACGGTGGTCCAGTGTAGACGGTGGTCCAGTGTAGAAGGTGGTCCAGTGTAAACGTTGGTCCTTCACCAAGAAAGATGGAGCGTTCAATAAGGAAAGGTTCATGCTTCTGTCCAACCAAATGAGAGGATCATGAAGCCCTACGTAAGAAAGTATAAAGAAAAGAAGTGTGACCACCTTTTATGAAAAAGTTAAAACATGTGGATTCTTTCATTTGAAGAAAATCAAGAAGCTGTGATTGTACATTTTAGGGCTCTAACAATGACTATTGCAATAATTAATCAACAACCTATATACTGAGCCCTACACATGTATGTGCTGAGAGTAGGGCTGAAATGTGATTTTATGAATCAAACAAAGCAGTGCCACTTCTCTTATCTACATATAAATATATGTTGTAAAGGTTGATGTATTATTGATCATATTTCATACATTTCTTGGGAAAATGTGAATATTCTTGGGCAAATGGGAATACATTTTTATCTTGAAATGGAAATCGTTTGATTACTGTAATAAAATCTGTGATTGTGTGGAGGTGCTGTTACGTTTGTCTCTGCTAGAGACAAATAAAAACTGTCATGGTGAGGATATTTTGTTATTTTGGTTATTTTTTTAAATCAGTTCTGTGCTTTGATTTTAGTTTGACTTCCTGTCTTGTTCGCCTGTGTTGATTGTCTGCCCCGCCCTGATGTGTTTCCTGTGTCTGTGTCTATAATATAATAATATATACAGTCTACGGTCTATATACCATGTGCTCCTCTCCCCTTGTTGCTGGCCCATTGTATTGTCTTTGTTTCTGTGATCTGTTGGTTTTTTGGACTTTGTTTATCACCTGGACTTTTGTTTTATTATCATTATTATTAAACCATTATTTTTTGGCCTTCTTGCATTTTGGGTCCTCATCTTCATCTCACCACGTGACAAAAAACGCAACACACCTTATATAGGTACATAAAACTAAGTGGGGACGTAATTGCTTTTACTGTCAGGGGTGTTTGGTTATTACACAATACACAATACAATTTATTCTTGTATAGCCCTAGGTCACAACAGAAGTCATCTCAGAGGACTTAACAAAACCATTGAAATCACCAACACAGGTCAGAGAATCAACAGTTAAAACACATGAAGAATATAAAGCACACACAGAAGAAAATGTCCATACATGTTGTAGAATGCTAAAGTGTCCTGATCATCACCAATCCTTTCTGTTGGACACTAACTGTCCAACAAGACCCTCCTGCATCGACAAGGAAAAACTCTTAAAAAACCCAGTGGGAAAAAGTGAGAAACCTTGGAGGAGAACTAGGGAAACCCACAGGGAGGGAGACCCATATGAGAAAGGGATCCGCTCCTCCGGACGGACAGGCTAATGATCTAGGACCTAAGCTAGCTACAGAACGTGGACCAGTGGACGCTGAACGTGGACAGGTCCGGTGCAGGACTGAAGCACTCCCAGGCGGGTCGGGCGGGGCAGTCCGCAGGTGTAGATGGAAGAGGCCAGGCTCAGAGATCCCGTCATCGTACCATGAAACAGACAATGGGACAACGGGTGAATAGCAATGAACAAACTACAGTCAGAATCCTAAAAATGCTAAACAGATAAAGTAGGAAGGAGGAGAGGATAGTGCTCAAGTTACCATACTTCTCCCAGCAAACTGACTCCCTATGCAGCTTGACTAACACTCTGAGGAGTTTAACCTTCTCCGAGTCTTACCTTCCTAGCCATATGCTAAACTAAAGAGGACTGTTTTAAACCTAGCCTTGAATAAAGAATAACATACAGCATAATATATAACATAATATACAACATAACACAATACATTATTGAATAATATATAACATAATATATAACATAATACAGCATATATATATAATATATACACTACATATTATATATTACCTAATTATATGCTAAATTAAAGTAAAGTGCTTTAAGCCTGGCCTTGAATGTGGAGACCGTATCTGCTTCCTTAACATAAATGGGAAGCTGATTCCACAGTAAAGGAGCTTGGTAGCTAAATGCTCTGCCACCAACAGTGACCTTTGAGACCTTAGGGACCACCAGACGTCTGGCGTTTTGTGAGCGCAACGCTCGACCTGGTTGATACGACACTAACGTGTCTTGGAGATAAGAAGGAGCCAAGCCATTTATGGCTTTATATGTTAAGAGTAGGATTTTAAACTTTATTCTGTACTCCACAGGGAGCCAGTGGAGTGATTTTAACACCGGAGTTATGTGCTCCCTCCTTTTGGTACCTGTTAAGATCCTAGCTGCTGTATTCTGAACGAGCTGGAAGCTCTTCAAGGAGGCTTTAGGGCACGCTGCCAGTAAAGCGTTACAGTAGTCGATCCTTGAGGTGACAAACGCGTGAATGAGTTTTTCCGCGTCACTTTTAGGAAGGAAATTCCTAATTTTAGCGATGTTCCGTAAGTGGAAGTACGCCGTTTTAGTTGCTTGGCTTATATAAGCCTTGAAGGAGAGTTCTTGGTCAAAAATGACTCCAAGATTCCTCACAGTGTTACTGGGTATTATACTGACATTATCGAGAGTAACCATCTGGTTAGTGAGGGAGTCACGCAGGCGCTTCGGACCGAGTAGGATCACTTCTGTCTTCTCCGGGTTGAGAAGTAGGAAGTTAAGAGTCATCCACATTTTAAGGTCCTTTATGCAGGCACTGAGCTTTTCTAGCTGATCTGTCTGATTAGGCTTCATCGACAGATAAAGCTGTGTGTCATCTGCATAGCAGTGGAAATTAATTCCATGCTTTTTAATAATGTTTCCCAGTGGCAGCATGTAGAGAGTAAAAAGAATCGGTCCGAGTACCGAACCCTGCGGCACACCGAATTCCACTCCAGAATAAGGCGACGAGTCCTGATTCACATTGACGAAGTGATATCGATCTGATAAATAGGATTTAAACCAGCCAAGGGCTGTTCCTCTAAGACCTATATCACATTCTAGCCTCTGCAGTAGAATGCTGTGGTCTATTGTGTCAAATGCAGCACTAAGGTCCAGTAGGACCAGCACTGACACTTGTCCATTATCGGCAGCTAGTAGTAAGTCATTTGTGACTTTGACTAGTGCCGTTTCAGTGCTATGATGAGCTCTGAATCCTGATTGAAAGACTTCAAACATATCATTTTCCTGCAGGTGGCAGCGGAGCTGCTCAGCTATAAGTTTTTCCAGGATTTTAGATATAAAAGTGAGGTTTGAGATCGGTCTGTAGTTTGTAAGTATTTCTGGGTCCAGGTTTGTTTTCTTCAGAAGGGGTTTGATTACCGCGGTTTTAAAAGCTTGTGGGACATAGCCACATTGTATGGATGCGTTTATTATATTTACGATAGGCTCAATTATCAAAGGAAGTATGTCTTTGAAGAGCCATGTCGGGACTGCGTCTAACATGCAAGTTGAGGCTTTTGAGGATGTGACCACAGAGATCACCTCTGCTTGGCTCACAGCCATGAATTTATTAAGGCCCACTGAAGAGTCTAAGTGGGAAGTCACGTATGCCGCTTCAACCTGTCCACCACTAACAGCAGGAGCAACCTCCTCCAGCTTGTCACGGATGGATGTAATTTTATTATTAAAGAAGTGGAGAAAGTCGACACTGCTCAGTGAGCTTGGAATTTTAGGCTCGATTGCGCTATGGCAGTTTGTGAGTTTAGCGACGGTACCAAACAAAAATCTACTGTTGTTTTTATTCGCTTCTATTAAAGTTGAATAGTATTGAGTTCGAGCCCCGCGAAGGGCCTTCTTGTAGTTTCGGAGACCTGCTTTCCACTCCCTGTGGACAGGCTCCGAGTGGGAGTGGCGATATAGCCTCTCCAATTTTCTGACGTCCTGTTTTAAAGTGTGGAGTTGAACACTGTACCAGGGCGACGATGATCTAATCCTAATGGTTTTCTGTTTTAAAGGAGCTGCTGCATTTAATGCAGATTTTAAAGACTCCATAGTGTTGCCCACCGATTGGTCAATGACTGAGGGACTGCAGCTGCTGTGAACAGGTTCACCAGCAGCAGTATTCAACATAGGCTGTATTAGTTCTTTGAACCTTGTGATAGATTTATCATTTAAGGTTCTTTTCATTATGGTTTTATCTTGCGGGACAGGAAAGTCCTCCAAAGCGAGATCAAACGTGATCAAGAAATGGTCAGACAGCAACGAGCTTTGACGCTGGATGTCAACATTGGAGACATCACAGCCGTAGGTCAGGACAAGGTCCAAGGTGTGGTTATGAATGTGAGTAGGTTCCTCGACATTCTGAGTAAAACCAACACCATCTAGTACGGCGCTGAAAGCTTTGTTTAAGCTGTCAGTGCTGTCGTCCACATGTATATTGAAGTCTCCAGCTATAACTATGTTTTCCCATTCCAAAACTAGGTTTGAAATGAAGTCAGAGAATTCTGTTAGGAACTCGCTGTAAGGACCAGGAGGTCGGTATAAAACTATAAATAGTACTGCTTTTTGTTTTCTCCACCCAGGACAGGTGATTGAAAGTGTTAAGTTTTCAAACGAGTGAAAAGCGTTGTTGGTTTTGGGACTAAGAACCAAGTTGGTGTGTGATATAATCGCAACGCCACCGCCGCGACTTGTAGTTCTGGCTTTCTGGTAGTTAACATGCGTCGGAGGAGTGCACTCATTCAATCTAACGTAGTCGTCCTGTTGGAGCCAAGTCTCCGAGAGCGCAAACAGATCCAAGCCCTTGTCTATAATAAGTTCGTTTATGAGAAGCGATTTAGACGAGATTGATCTGACGTTCATTAAACCACATTTAACAACCCTACCGCTAGAACTATTTCTGTCTGTCTGAACTTTTATTAAGTTACTGTGTCTGACACCTAGGTCAGATTTCCTCGCATATAGTGCTTTAGACTTCAAGCGGGGAACACACACAGTTTCAATCTGACTAGGTTCTGAGGCTAGTAACTGAGCACACACAGGCACACACACACATGCACACACAGTTTCAATCTGACTAGCCTCTGAGGCTAGTAACTGAACAGATGGGGGCTCAGAGGTTGTGGCAGAGCAGCTCTGCACCCGGGCCTCAGTTCTGCATTGTCATTTGAGCCGAGCAGAACAGTTTAGAGCCAGGGCCAAATTCTTAGCCAAAAGGGATGTACCCGCCAACGTTGGGTGGATATCATCCGAGCGGATGAGACCGGGCTTTCCCCAAAAGGCACTCCAATTGTCAACATGAACAACACCACTTGGAGGGCACCAGCCAGACAGCCAGCGGTTGAAAGCCGAGTGTCTGCTGAATGCTTCTGCACTGCTAGTGCTAGGTAGGGGCCCAGAGAAGATGACAGTGTCGGCCATTGTGCTAGCCAGCTTGCACACGGCGGCGACTTGCAGCTTCAACACCTCGGACTGTTTCCGCCGAACGTCATTACCACCCGCGTGAATAACAATTCGACGGAAACGCTGCTTGTGGGTCATCATGAGCCTCAGATTCCCTTCAATATCACCAAGCCTGGCCCCAGGGAAGCACCGAACAGTGGCTCCTGGGATCTTAACACCTCTAACAATAGAGGAGCCAATTACCAGCGCATCAGCAACTCCATCGGCTCTCTCAGCAGCTCTCTCAGCAGCTCTCTCAGCAGCTCTCTCAGCGGCTCTCTCAGTGGGGCCTTCTTCCCCGCCCGGCTGCGCCGACAGAGCGTCCCAGCGATTGTAAATGCTAACAGGAGGAGGCCCAATGGGGAAACTACCAACAACACGTCGCCCTTTCCGAACAGTCACAAAGCCATCACTATCCTGGTCTTGTCCCAGCTGCGGAGGACGGGCTGGGAGGCTAGGCTCGCTAGTTCTCCTCTGCCTTTCCCTAAAGCTGCGCTCCGCTGTCCCTGAGGATACGGCCTGGCTGTAGCTAATGCTAGCGCTAGCTCGAGACTCCAGTGCTCGGAGACGCAGCTCTAACTCACTGACCCTGGATTCCAGAGCTACGACTACACTACACTTCACACATCTATCACTACCCTCAGAGAAGGATCCAGGGTTTAGACTCGCCATATGGCGACTCGAGCAGTAAAGGATTGAGGGAGAGACAGCAGCCGCCATAGTAGCGAGTTAGCGGCTAGGCTAGGCTAAGCTAGTACGGATCCGGGCCCGCACAACAGACTCTGAGACCAGACAAACAACCGCTACCTAAACCTCAGCTGCAGTACAGCTGACTCGGAGTGCTTACACAGTTAGCTTGGTGTACAATACGTGGATTTGTAATGTGTTTGTTAGTGCAAACAGAGAGCAGAGTGATAGCAGTCAAGAAACACGCTCACCGGATACAGGAAGTCACGTCACGTGACTTCTATGCTTTATGGATAGATCAAAGTGAGTTATAGACCTGGGTCAATGGAAGGCAAAGAGGTATGAAAGACATCCAAAACGACCCATTAATAACATATAGTAATGACTAATTTAACATGTTCTCCACACAATCATACGAGAAACCCAGTCAAGAGATCACAGTGAACTTTGCGATACTGTGCAAAGTTCACAGTAAGTATTCAATTTTCAAGTATGAAAATTGAATACTTACCTTCCTCTAACAATCCATCGCAGGCTCCATATATCTTAAAATAATATATGACAGAGGGGAAAGAATTAACTAGATAGAAAAATCATGAAAAAAATAACCATTATGAGCATACCTGAAGCGACCTCTCCCCACGTGGCCACGTTGTTTGTGGCGGTAAACAATAATGTATAAGTCCAGCAGAAGGCGCTGTCTCCTCCACATAATCACACAGCACCAGAGCACACGCCAGAATAAGAGCTCAGGGCTGTTAGCTGAAGCAACATGGGAAATGACAAGGTCGGGCCAAAACAGTTTCTGTTTTTGTAATAATCTATGAATTTAGAACTGTGAACCGTACACCTGCATGATTGTTTTATCCACACCGAGGAAATGAAGCAAACACACTTGATTAAAATAGGCCAGGCAATCTGCTGCTATAATGATTGAAAATATGATAGCCATAACCTATTTGCTAATAAATGATAGCATCATATCCTCCGAAATTGTTTTGATGTTAATCATTGTATTAGATGGAATTTATTATATACTGAGAAATAATGCCCACTTAAGACAAACTTTCTGTTGTGCAGATGCAGAAAGAGGTTATACAAAGTTTAAACAAAACATCGCACTCATTAGTTTCAGATGTTAATTGTTTTTCCACAAAACGTTTCAGCCACAATGCCTTCGTTTCTTTCAGACCATAATCTTTTCATTTATCAAACACTGACCATAAAAAAACACTCAATGACTGACTAACTTACATGCAGGACCCCCTGACCCAACTTAAAGACTTGGTGGATCTCAAAGACCAACTTGAGGACATCCAGAGACGAGTGGAGGATGAGATCCAGGCCGGTGTACCTCCTGTAAGGTCACTTTCTTTCGTAGTTACTGTGTTTGGTCCCTTTTGACTGATTTGTTGTTGTTTTATATTTAGGGGGGGAGTTTTCTCGCCTCTCCTTTCCTAAAGGGATTCATGGCTGGGTACATCATCGCAAGATTACGCTCCCCTGCACTGGTGGGAGTTGCTATTGGAACATGTACTGGAATCTATGCTGCACAAAACTACAAAGTCCCAAATATTGAGAGCACCATCAAGGACTACATGAGCGGCCTGAAAGGTGGACGCAAATAACTGAATTAATTCTATCCATTTGCCTTTCACCCAAAAATGCATGGGAAAGATTTACTATTTGTACTTTATATTTGCACTTAAAATTGTATTGAGAAAAAAAAGGTCAGAAGTTTTATTCATGTTATGAACATTTTTAAATATTATGTATAGACAGCTTGTTTTCCGGTTAAGTTGTTGTTATAGCTCATCAAAATTATTGAACCTTTTTCTGCAGGGAAAGATATTTTTTGTCACCGTCTCGAAATTATGCAGCGATGTGGTAATCGTATAAAAACCATCTTGTTCAAACGAGAAACTGTGCCTTTAATTTGGATGGGATGTGTATGTTCATCTCATATTTTGCGCACAAGGTGTTTGTGGGAACAATAGCCAATTTTATGCTGGAATCTTTTTTGTCAGTGCACTTTAGATTTATGGACAATTGCAGAGTTCAGTTGTAGTTCAGATAATGTTTTGTGACTTGCATAAGCATACAATCAAATCAAGTTACTTGGATGTCTTTTACTTGAAGGTACAGAATGTCTACTCTATAAGATCTACAATACTGCTTGTTTTTGTGTTTGATTTAACCTAAACTGGAAACTCACAAAACGTATAGCAGGCTGCTCTCTTCTACCATCACTCTGTGCCGTAACATCTTTGTAACAACCATGTTGTGTGTAGAAGATTGGATTATTTGTTCACTCTTGATTATTAAAAAGTTATCCCTGAAACAAACTATCATATAAGGTTTTGTGTGCGGTGCGTGTATGTGAATGGTGTACACCTTCTAATTTATTTAATATAAAAGTTTTTTAGATAACATAAAAGGAAACATTACATACAATCATATAACAAAAATGTAGATACTAGTAAACACATACAGAAAAATGTATATATTAATACAATATTTTTGTTGTTTGTGCAAGTAAACAAATCTTCAAACATAGGTGAAGCTTCTCACATTTTCAAGAAGACTGTTCCATGTTAGCTGCATACTGTACATCTATAATGCTGATTCCATATGTTCAATCGACTCTGGGCACCAGCGGGAGGTCTAATTGACGTTAATCATTCAACGGTTTTGTTAAGTCCTCCAAGATAACTACTGTTGTGATTTAGGGCTATACAAGAATAACATGAATTGACTGGTTTATAAATGAGAAAATGCAAAGAGGAGCCACTCAGTAGTATCCATATCCATGTAAAAAAAACACACACACACACACACATATATATATATATATATATATATATATATATATATATATATATATGTGTGTGTGTGTGTGTGTGTTTTTTTTTAGTTTTTTTACATATATATAGATATCTATATATATAGCTATATATATGTGTTTTTTTTTAGCATTATGAATGGATATGGATACTGAGTGGCTCCTCAGTATCCATATCCTCATTTTCTCATTTATAAACATGCATATGTACTCTGCATACAGGCCTTTCTCGCTGACGTAATGGAGGACGTGACTTCTCATTGGCCCACCGCGTCCTGTTGCAGGAAGCGGCTAAATGAGCGCGTGGCTAGCAGGAGCTTCTGTTGTTTGGATTTCTGCTCTGGATTTATTTAAGTTTTGTTTATGTTTCTGTTTACGGCATATTATATACTTGCCCAAATATTACCTTGACATGGTAGATTTTAATCCGTTAATGAGATAAAGATAAAGTATTTGCCACAATAACACTTGTATTACGTTAGCCTGCAAAAATGCTAATTCTTACGACTTACGTTCTGGCTTGTTTTGCTTGACACTTACTATTGGTTTATTACGCTTTTCCTCAATTGGACTGTTGACGTTTGGAAAGAGGATGCAACGACCCAGAAGAACAGCCACTGCTAAAACAGTGAAGTATACAGATATAGACTCATCTGATGTGTAAGTGTGTGATACTGCAACAGGATGAAGGATCATGATAAATATCATGAGACTGGCAACATTTAATAGAGCTGGGGATAGGGCACTGTAGTAGGCCTATGTAAAATATCAAGCTATTGTATTTTCTTTATTTGGCCTTGAAGTCACACCTGAGGAGGGTTAGATGTGGTTATATGATTCTCTAATGAGGCTACTTTTAAACAAAGATCGTTTACTGACTCATAAAACAGGTTACCGCAGATTTTCTTTGCAAAGCCCTACTATTCCCCATGAAATGTGTGACGATTCAGCTGTAAAACATGACATTAGGTCCTTTTATAAATGTAAACATATTCATGTTAAAATGATGATTGATGAAACATACAACTGGCAAAACAATACATATAATTTTGAGTGATTAAAGAGTTTGCAAGTCTGTGAGTAGTTAAGATAAGATAAGATACTCCTTTATTGTCTCCCATAGGTTCATATGCTAAAAACTAGCGTGGCTGACTTTAATGGAGAAATACTAATGAACAATACAAAAATGTTAGGCACCACAATCGTTTTCAATGTATCTCCAGATGTATTAGGTCAGTGGTCTCCAACCTGTAGCTTGGGAGCTACCAGTAGCTCAACAGCCCCTTTCGGGTAGCTCCCCAAAGCATTATGTATTTAACACATGATCCTGAATGAATACATTTTGAGTCATTACATGTGTATTATAAGTGAAAACATAAGGTTATTAAGATTAAGGGATCCTTTATTCATCCCACAGTGGGGGAAATTTCAGTGTTGCATCACAATTTATAGAACAGTAGTAATGAGGAGCACACAGCACAAGATAAGTGCACAATAGCTATATCAATTAAAATAAAACACAATCTCCAACTCCTGCATCAAAAAACAAGTATAAAATCTCTATCTTGAGCATAATGATAATAATAAGAATAATAATGAAGAAGTATATATTGCTTACATTTGGCAAACTTAGAGGCAAGTATAAAGTACTGTGTATTCTCCATCTGTACATGTTAGCAGCAGTATGTTTACATCGGTACATTAGCAGCAGTATGTTTACATGTGTACATTAGCAGCAGTATGTTTACATCGGTACATTAGCAGCAGTATGTTTACATGTGTACATTAGCAGCAGTATGTTTACATCTGTACATTAGCAGCAGTATGTTTACATCTGTACATTAGCAGCATGATCATATACAGCATTATAGTATATAATGCTATAATGTGTGTTCTCTCTCTTGTCTTAATTATTGCATAGATTTTTATTAAGACTGCAAAAAAGGAGTAGTTCTCTGCCTCTTCTGTTGTATAAAAGTAGATCTCCGATTGAAAAAGGTTGAGGACCCCTGTATTAGATGCTTTACCTTGTGCTCTCTTTTCACATAAATTAAGTTTATGTCTGTATAAGTGAGGGCTTGTGCATGTGCAAAAGTGAATTGCTAAACAACCTCAACATTGGAGCAAACTAAAAATTGCCCCTGAAATTGCACAATTTTATTTTAGCACATGATTAATGAATCCTTGTAAAAAAAAAAAAAACATCAAAAAAAATCTTTCCAGTGAAAGGGTCTGTATCCACAAATCTGAATCATACTTGTTTTCAAATTAATACTCCAATACACTACAAGACCTGGCCTGTTAACATTTTCCTTTGGCTGAAGTTCATAAAAATGCCTAAAACATTTGTTCCATGGAAAGCATGGAGCAAATTCCATCTCCTGAAGATTTTAGAAGGTTGCTTTATGGCTGCTCATTTAAATTGATAAACTATTAATATTTTTTGATCAGGAGATTTTGCCAGTGACTCACTGTTGAATGTTGTCTCTGTTGTCATGTTTTTTACATTATTTGGCTGCCAATCTTCAGCATTATGAAGGATATATTCATTACTTTCAGATCTTTTTCTCAAACCATGAGCAGTGAGGAGGAGAGTGAAGAATGGATCCCTTTAAAGCCAAACCCCAAGGCTCCTTGTAAACCTCCAGTCAAAAAATCAAACAAACCCATAGCCCCTAAAGTGCCTAAAGAACCAAAGCCAAAAGCCCCCAGAAAACCCCCTGTCAAACGCAAACAGGCCGCTCCCAAAGCTGGTCTGGATGATAATTTAGCTACTGGGTTACTTCAGGTAAAAAGGACACGAACAGATTCTAAGAAAACTAATGCTCAGTACGAAAATTATGAGACAACTGCTGATTGTCACCAAGATGAGAATCAAGCTGAGAACCCAGATGAACCTGGGCCAAGCGGAATGAAGCAAGAGGTAAGATGTTCACACACAAATTAACTGTTGATTATCAATATGAATGTTTCCTTCTTTTGCAGCGACTGTCCTTCACTGTGTCAGATGCTCATCCGGAAAACCGATTTGTGGATTATGGCTATTCTGTTAAGAAAGAGGAACAGGAAGATTTCACCTTTGAAGATCCTTGCACAAGGTTGCAAGCAACAAATGACCAACAACTTCCTAAGACAAGATCTCCTCTTGCTAAGTCTTTGAAGAATGAACTCAACATGAACTGGGACATCATAGAGGTTTTTTTTTTTTTTTAAATTAACACAGTTAATTACTTTTAACAAAATCAATTGTAAATGTTTTTATCGCCAGCTTTTGTCCATTTTGACGGGCGTGGAGCGATGGGTTGCTGTGAATATTGTGACACTACTTCAGGAGGAAAACACAGTGCCTTTTATGGTTCGTTATCGCAAAGATATGATTAATCACATGGATGCAGATGGTGTTCGAGAGGTACAGCTGGTGTATGAAGACTTATGGTGAGTCTCTATAGGCTATATTCACTGCATCCCTGCAATTAATCACTTTTTATTAAGACAGATATTCAGTCAGATCAATATTATTATACATCTATTATTTTAAAAAAGAAAAGAAAAAAGGGATATAAAACATGATGTCTCCTGTCGTTATGTCCTTGGGCAAGGCACTTAACCCCACTTTGGCTGAAGCCCCCGCTGAAAGATCAAGGCTGTCGTCACTGACAGAGCAGCCGTCCTCCTGTGGACTCAACACCTGCAGGAGGATCAGTGAGGGGCTGGTGCTCTGTGAATTGGGTGCAGCTCTGACTGCCAAACCCCCCCACCCAGAAATTGATTAAGGGGTAGGAAATGGATGGATGGATGGATAAACAACATTCCCAGCATAAGTAAATGCACTTTGTATTTCAGAAGATATCTTTCAGCACAATTTACAATTTGTCATTTTATTTCAGAATATATTGTCAACTCAGTGTTCATTAATATTCAGTACATAATGGTATTACATCTTTTTAGTCTATGCACCGGTTTGGGACAAGAGGAGTTACTTGTTGTTAATGATCTTTCCACTAGATGGTGCTAAAAGTCAAGAATTGACGCTGTAAAGTCCCGAAACCAGAACCTTTCTCTCCCTCTGCTGCCAAAGATACTCAAGAGCCTTTTTAAAGACTTAAAAACAAATGCAATAGAAATATAATACATGGATTGAAAATGTAATTGCAAGCGTGTAACAGGGCATATTTTGGAATATGTGGATGTTAAATGTTACAATCCTAAAATATAGAAAACAAAGAGGCTGCAGGTTTCCTACCCCATACCCATATAATTTATACACTCATTATCTTTAGACTTGAACTAGTTTTTCAAAGTTTCATTTGAAATGATTTGTTTGTTTTTAAGTGCATTGGCTAAAAAAACGCAGTCTGTCATTCAGACCTTGAAGAAAGATGGACATTTGACAGCTGAGCTCGAGCAAAACCTAAGAAACTGTAGATCTGCAGATGAACTGGATCATGTGGTAACTGTTTGGATACATTTTATTACATGTGTACATATATTACACTGCGTTTTTATCAATTCAAGTGCAAATAAAATAGCGGGTGCAATTTTTGTGTTTTAGTTCCGTGTTCATGTGCACATCATACATCAGTTTGCGTCCATGTTAAGGGGTGCTCATCACACATACAAAAACTATATAAATTCATTCCCGTTCGTTTCCACACATTTAACACTTAACATTTCCTATATTGGTGAACAACACTGCTTGGAAAATAATGTATTTACAGGTAAATGTTATTATCCTCAATGTATCCTCCAGTACACTCCATATAAAAAAGGCAGCAAATTGACCAAGGCTCGCAGGGCTAAAGCGCTTGGTCTTGAGGATGCTGCCACTGCCCTTTTGGAAACCCCACACATGTTGGACTTGAATAAATGGGTTCAGCCTGGAACTGAGGGTAGGAAATTGACAATTGGTGATTATTTAAAAAAAAAACCTAACCCAGTATATACAATTAACAAGTACATATTTAACCCTATACCAGGCCTCTCGACTGTTGAAGAAGTAGCCACTGGTGTTGAACATATATTGGCCGATATGATAGCCAAAGACCCTGACACTTTAACCTATGTGAAGAACCTGTAAGATTTCACTTAAGCCAATTTAATTTTATGTATTTTGTCATAGAATTTATGCTAACAATATTTTCTTTTCCAGGTGTGAAAAAAATGTCATCACAATCCAATCCTCTGTGTCTAAATCAGCCCTAAAAGATAAAGGGCAAGAGAAAACTGTCCCAAACCATTCAAAACCTGGGCCACATAAAAACAAAAACCTAGATATTGACAAATTTAGCCTTTACTTTGACTTCACCAGCAACATTCATCGCATCCAGCCACATCAGGTATGTTATTATAAGAGAAGATAATCTACAAATGTAAGTTGTGTCCTAATTAACTTTAGATGCCTTGAATTTAAAATGAGAAACAATTTTACACTCTTGACATACTGTATCGCCAAAAGACTCACTGAGGAGCCTACTCATCTGAAGGTTGTCTAACATTCTGCCTCTAGAGCAGGAGTCTCAAACTCAATTTATGTGGGGGCTGCATGAGGTCGAGTCTCAGTGAAGCTGGGCCGCATTAAGGGGTATGTTTATCACGTGTTTGTGTCTGTTCCAAATCAAAGCAAACAGATCTTTCCACACAGTTTAGCTCCTCGTTTGATTAAAGTACTCATATTTTCAAACAGCCCCATCTTTTCATTCTCTAACATTAACTGTAGAAAACAAAAACATGGTTGTTTTCCTGATAGAATTAGTTTTAAAACAATGTTTAACATGCCATATTAGCCCAGACTCTCAGTCGGAGGGCCTATGGTCCACATGTTTGAGACCACTGCTCTAGAGGCTTTGGACCTGGAGATGTTTTTGCCTTCTGCAGGAGTGCTTCTAACTAATTGCTTTAATATCGCTCTATTATTTTCACTTGACACATACTTAGTGAGTATGTTATGTTTTACTATTTGATAGTTATTGTTTGACCTTTTGATAATTTACAATAAGCAAAATAGGATTCTTTCATTACTATACTAAATTTGCCCGAATACCCAAACCTCCATGTCTCCAAACTTATCTGTTGATCTGATTTTGCATCTGTCCCAGTGCATGCCTCCTCTGAATGTTAGTCTTGTCATGTGCAGTTAGCCTGCTCTGGGCCTTCATACTTACCCCTCCTGTGCCATCCATGGCCCCCTATGTGCCTGTAGTGACTGGTTACTCAGAGTTGGTCCCAGGCCTCTTGTGTCACCACAGCTTCCATCACCAGCCGCCTCTCTGCCACGCCATACTCTTTGGCAGGGTGCTCTGGCCTGCAGTCATTCTAATACATACAAACAGACTCGGACATACACACACATTTACCCGGCAAGTCCCCTCATTCCCTTCTCTTAACATATGTGACATGTCCCCTACTGACATGCCATTGGATTAGGAGGCTCTGATTGACAGGCGTTCTCTTGTAGTGACAGCTTCTGCTGTTGGGCCCACAGGCGGCTGGAGGGAGTGAGGGAGGGGCGCCACTGAGTGCCAGTGAATGACGTTGAGTTGTGTCCATTACTTTTCTCTCTCATAATTGTTCCCAATCTGCCTAAACTGCAGCTCTTCGTTGCACGCCACACCTCACACTATCCCCCTCTCCAATTCAAGGCATTTAATTTGATGACTCGCCTATGTCACATAGCATTAATCCACAAGCTGCTGTGATCCTGGTAGCTGTCAGATTCCGGCTGAAACAAACCTTTTTGAGCCGTCAACTTGGCAGGAAGGAAAGCAGGTGGTAGATGTGTTTAGACAGGAGACTTGTGTGGAAGCACTCAGTTGTCCATTTCATTAAACCTAAACAACTGATTTTGGCATGTCAAGTTTATTGGTATAGCACAGTTCATACATAAGGCAACTCAAAGTACATAACAAAACAAGAAAATAAATTAAAAATATACCTTAAAAAACAATTATTTCGCTGTATGCACAGCTAAACAATTCTGTGTTTAATCTCCATTTGAATAGTGTCAGAGTAGAAGCCTGCCTCACATTTCCAGGAAGACTGTTCTGTATTTTAGCTGCATAAATCTGAAATGCTCCCATGTTTAGTACTGACTCTGGGCACTAGCAGGAGGCCAGTCCCTGTGCTCCTCAGAGTCCGAGTTGGTTCACGAAGCTGTTTTTACTGATTTTGAACTTGTTGAAAGGTTTTTAGAGCTAAGAACTTTCCCAATACAGTCATTTTCACATTTACGCTCTGAATTTTGAAAGTTTTGACATCTATTTGTTGTAAAGAATAACGAGGATTGTATTCACTGTTTTAGAGTTTCTTTACTTAGACTTATTCATACATTTATCTCAGCTATACAGTGTACTTTTATTTATTTTTTTAGAATTTACATGTATTATTATTAATCTGTGGGGAATTACACAACAACCAAACAGAATATACTTAGCACCAGTTGTATTACTCATTGAATATATGTTTTATGCTTTGTGTATCATCTGTGATAGACGTGTGGATGAAAATAATCATCCAAACAGAGGCTGAGACAGCCAAAGAGACAGTGAACTTGGCTGGCACAATGCCCTGGCTTAGGGGCTAAAGAAATGTGAGGGGGCATCTATGAAAGACTGTCTGGTCCCATTAGGATTTGGCTAGTACAGTCCTACCTGTCACTCCCGCCTCATTTAGATCTGACCACACACCTCTTGCCCCTCTCATAGACTTTGTGTTCAGACCTTCCTGTGTCCAAGTCCTAACGGGGTTGTATTGGCAGTTATTGTCCAATCAATACATCGAGCCACTGATATTGTCATCTAATACAAGCACTTATACAGAATACAAAATATGGGATATCAGCCAATTTCTGTCCGAGAGCAATGTGGCCTTCTTATGGGTAGAAGCTTAAGGGTAAATACTTTTAACAAAAATAGTGATTACAGGATTTTTGATTTCACATTTGAATTCATGTCATTTTATGACACACAAAAAAGACTGACTGCAGAAGGGGAAAAACTCATCAAACTTTCTTTATAATTAACGTAGTGCTGCTCTGAGAGATTAGCCTTGTTTTATATGTTTGTGGATGTTGTGGCTTCAGCCACACTTGTGGGTGTTGGTGGGGTACACCTCACGGACTCGGAGCTGATAGTGAGAGAATGAGGCAATTGTCAGCTCTCTTCTTCCGCTTGGGCTCCAGATTGATGTCTTGTTCATGCCTCTGTGTTGCGTTGTTAAGATAGAGGATTTCCTCATGAAAAGGTCAGGCACTTACTTGTATTTGCTTTACCAGGCCTTTGTGGCCCATGATGTAGCACTACAAATATGATGTTGATGATATTGATGATTTATTATTAGCAAATGTAATTTAAAAAAAAGATAAAGGACAGTGTGTTATTAATATCCACAAAATCCATCTAATTTGTTGAGACATTCAGTGCTTCAGTTTAGTCTTCTACTTGTTCATGTCTGACAGAGTAATTTTTTTCATGTTTAGACGCTGGCTATCAATCGAGGGGAGAGCCTGAAGATTTTGACAGTGAAGGTGAACATCCCCGACAGAGTTAAGACTGACTTCACCATGTGGTGTGTTAACTGCAGGTCCGTCCCTGTGCCTTGAATGAAGAAACTACAGGTGAACATGCTGTAAAATAACTATAACAAACAAACTATTTTAACTCAGATGGAAAACCAAGAGCTTTGCCAGAGAAGAGCACCGTTCTTTAATAAGAAATGCAGTGGAGGACTCTTACAAAAGACTCATTTTGCCTTTCCTAACCAGGAGTCATAGGTACAGATGATTTTTTTTTTAAACATAACAATGTTGTGCTTATTTTGTTGTTGAGATATGTTTGTTTTTCTTTCAGGACAAAACTCACAGCAGCCGCAGAGAAAGAGTCGATTGCTATGTTCGTTCGCAATCTTCGACAGCGGCTTTTGGCAGGTCCAGTCAGGGGATGTGTTCTAATGGGTGTGGACCCTGGTTTCAAACATGGCTGTAAAGTTGCTATCCTCTCGACTACTAGTAAGTCACCAAGATTACATAAAAGCAATGACTGCTGTTTGCAGCAATTGGGTTAACATAGTATTTATTTATTTATTTTGGATTGCCCTTTAAAGCTGCGCTGCAACTTGTGGTGGTGTTCGCTACCTGCTTGTTAATTATTTATTTGCTTGGATTGTACATATATATTTTTTTCAAAAAACTTATTTCAACACATTATAGTGAGGAATTGCACTAAATAAAATTGTTGTCTTTGTTTCTTTCATCATTACAGGTCAAATTCTCCACACTGAAGTGTTCTACCTGCACAACTCGAACAAGCACCAAGAAGCTGACAAACTGCGCCATCTTATGATTAAATATGGGTATGATTGGTCATTATTTTATGCTGAGTTTAAAACCATAGTTATACTTTCCCTCTGTCTGAAAATTCGAAATGTGCTTAAGAAATTCTTTCCCTTATCATTGAGTCTGTGTTCTGTCGGTCATGGTCATCTGAATGTGGCAGTCACATTAAAGCCTGGGGTACCTACATTTAAAACCAGTTACAAATGTACTGAGGTAGTAAAACCCATCTAACCAGTTCCAAGCTCTTTAAACAGTTTTGTTCTATTGCTAGTTTCCACATGCATTTTTGGCTTCTGTCACATTTTGAAATCTGCTTTTACAGAAAGAAAAGTGAAAAAGACATTTCTCCTGCACCACCTTGTCTTATTCTTTTCAATGTGTTATAACTATAATGTGTTTAAAACAATGTAGTCTGTCTGCACAATATGTTTTAACCTCTGCTCTGTGATGTTATATGTGTGTTCGAGGAGGTTCATCTTCATTCTCTGTTTACACTCATATTAGCGTTTGTCTAAAACTCAAATTAGCGTTTGTCTAAAAGACTGAATTGTTCCTCCATATATTTTGGCCTAGTGGAAGGTGCATGCTTGTCAATGTCCTGTTCGTGGGATTTAGCATCTTTACTGAGCAACTGGTGCTGGTCGTGAGGATCCAGATTCAGGTCAATGATGAGGAGCAGAAAGGATAAGCAAGACAGAGGAGGGAGGTATTTTAAGTAATTTTCAGACAGAGGGTATGTGGGTTTGTTATGGGTTTTTTTAATTTCCACGGCAACACAGCCCAATTTGTTTGTAGTGATAAATTCTACACATTTTGGTTACAGGTGTACAAAGATTGTGATTGGCAATGGGACAGCATGCCGTGAGACCGAGTCTTTCATTTCTGAGCTGATTTCCCGACGCTGTTTCCACCCGTTGGATGTGTCCTACTGGTAAGGCCTTGTCAGTTGTAAGAGTATGGTAGTCAGTTAATTTAAATAGTTTTTTTTTATAATATTGTTTTTACAAAACACTATTATGCAATTATACTTACAACTACTACAAAGTAAAAACTTATTTCTAATGCTGTAGAATAAAGTAGAAATTAATTAGGGTGAATAATTGCAACCACCGTAATCACTTTTTGAACTTCACATAGACTTAAATATTCTGATAAGCGGATTTATGAATTAAATTGAAATGTGTTTACAAATCACGTTAATTATTTTCATTCAAACAACCCAATATGTAATAGTCATCTCTATAAAGATGTTCTCGAGGAGCATCACTTGAACTTTGTTTTGGTCAAATATATTAAAAAATCCCATGTTCACTGACTTGGGATCAAAACAACAAATCAATGAATTGAAAGAATAATCGGGCAACTAATCGATGAACAAAAAAAAAGTTAATTACAGTCCCACAATCATCACACCTCTTTGCTTTTAAAACCATGAAATATATTTTACAAACTATGCATTATGATATAAATGCAATAAATACAGTAGCCTTGGTCTCTGTGTGAAGCCACCACGAGGCCAAAACTTACAAAAGTGGTCAGTCAGAGAGGCTTTGCAATGTACAGGACAAATTCTATTCACTCCCATCAAACAACGGTAATATAAAGGACATAAATAGTTCTCTATAGAAAGGCATCGTTAAGTACTCATTCAAGTTGGTTAAATTATAGTTGTGTGATTGCTTTGTGATTTGGTTAACATACCAGTGCTCTAAAAGTGTGCTGAACATGTAGCACAGTGCAGATGGGTTAAGAGCAGGAATGCACTCTTGTCTATTAAGGCCATCTGGACTTTGTTTGGTTACGTTCCAATTAGAGAGACTCGTTTGCTCCGTGTTGTGTCTGTAGCTGGTCTCTCGACACTTGAGGATTCAACTCCACTGAACCTTGGTCCAAACATAGCAACCGCGGCCTGTCAAGGCTCCATCTTTTTCTGTCCTCGCTTCTATGTGAGTTTGTTGACTTGTGGTTTGTTGGATATCTGCGCAGGGGTGCTGATTTTAAATTTACTTATATAATTTGCATTTACACTGGATTTTTTTAGGCACAGGACATGCTTTCTATATTCACATTTTTATATTCATTGACCACATTGTAAGAGCATTGTATTGTTTTGTGCCTGCATCATTAGTTTGATGATACAAAGTTGGGCCTTCACCCTACACAACCCTTTTCTGGAGGTCGGGGTCAGCTCCTTACAGTGAGTTAGCCATAAGATTAATTGCACTGACGTTGAATAGCAAGATATACATTAGAAACCCCAAGGGGTCAGTGTGCTTGCTGTGAATGTCTTCTACATGAAAAAATAAATGACACACTTTTTAATACGATCAGAGGCCTCTCACCAAGTGGAATTCAGTGTGATTTGACATAGTTTCAAAATAGATGCAACTAATACAATGAATACATGTTTAACTTTATAAAAATATATATATATATTTTTTTATGTTTGCCAAGAAACACCCTTGTTCTTGTGTGCTGTGTTTTGGTAAATAGCCTTTGCCTCTCAGCTTTGACAGTTGAGTTCATTAGGAAGCTGTGCCAAATTCGAAGCGTCTGCTTCTTGTCTACCTATGAGCCTTCATTGTTGCTGCCCCCACTCCCCCTTGTCTTCTTCACTCCGCCCTTCTGCCTGACTGCTCAGCTGGAATGACAGCCAGAAATGGCCGCCTGCAGGATGCAGCAGTGTGTGTGTGTGTGTGCGTGCACTTCTAGTGGTTTGCAAACTACTTGTATCACTATGAGTAGAGTCTTCATAGTCCTCCTTAAATAGAACTACTTTAGCAATGGTTTAGTCTTAATGTTTGTGTAGAAATGTCCAACTGTAGAACTGATGTGGATCTGATAGTACTCTCGGCCAGATATTTGGTCTATAGAGACAGACACCTTATTTTTCCTGTCAGATTATTCATACTAGTTTAAATGGAAACGCATCATAAGGACATCATGAGTTATTCTAAGATTTAGTTTCTCTGTGCTGTCTGAAATTAACACACCATTTGCTTAAAAAACTTATTTTAAATTATATTCAAATTGATGATTTTTGGGTACAGAATTGTTCAACTTACTCTCAGCAGCACATCACTCCAGTGTGCTTAATTCTTCTTTATTTCTTTTATGGACCACTTCATCTCCACCTTACCAGGCTGATTAGTGACCTTTTAAAGACCTGTTAAAAATGCAATCTTTTGTTAAATCACTGGTTTATCTGGGATATTTAAATTAAATTCAACTTAAATTCAACTTTATTTATAGAGCACTTTAAAACAACACAGTTGACCAAAGTGCTGAACACAAGTCTACTAACACAATATCATATAAAAACATATACAAGAAGAAAATTAACGATCTATGGCCCTAGTTTTTATGGGATCCCAAAAACCTTCATGAAGGAAGTCACAGTTCAGTTATGGAGGTTATCAGTTAAACTTATTATTTTTGGATTAAAGTGGATGGACATGATGTGGCGTTGTGCATCATTATTTTTTTATTCCACTACAAATATGAATCTGCCTTACAGATATAATCAATTAAAATGTGTCATGATTGAATTTATTCTCATTGTCGCAGAGCGCAACAGTTTAAGTTTGGAGCATCAACACTGCATAATTGTATTTAGTGTACATGAAGAATGAATAGTCTGTATTTCGATTTTGAGCTTTTTATTTTTTTTGCGGCGCTCTTCCCGCAGTCCTTGAATGTCTCGACCTCTGGTGGTTCCTATTGGGATGAGATCATTATTACTGTCCAGCTGGCAGCGCTGGGGGTCAGTGGTGGAGTCTGTAGAGCTTGTGCCCATGACTCTATATCCTCTGTCTTTTCCTGTGGCCCACCGTGCTCTCAGGGCCCTAATGGAGACTGATGAACTTACAGTGGCAGGGCCAGTCATCTCTGAGCCGCATCAAGCACTTAGGCATCTGCTCTGGTTATAAAGAGGAGGTGTAAAGGGACACATGCTCTCAGAGGCGGTTAGTGCTTTTCTTTCAGAGAAGTATGAGGGTCACTGTGCTACGCCTCTGCTGTTTGATTATTTGATTAATTTAGTTGATAAATTAGTTTAGTTATGTTATTCCACTTGTTTGTTCTGCTTTTGGTTATTGACCTTCATTTTCAAATTACTGTTAAAATAGGTCTACACACCTATTTTAAGAGTTTATTAAACCTATTAATTCATTACACATTCTCATAATTCTATATGCATACAATAGTTTTCATCCCCTGGTATAATATATGATTGAATGTTTCTTTCTTTTTTGTGGAATATGAATGATATGGTAGTGGTTGACTTTTTATGTGAATAACCATGATATGTGAATCCTGGCTCTTTCTCTTGGCATTTTTTTTCATCTTGCCGTTTAATGAAGTACGTAGGTAGTAAATAAGTAGTTCATCTGTGTATGTGCGCGTGTGTATATACATATATTTATATATATATTAGGGCTGGGACTCGATAAAAAAATGATCTAATTAATTAGAGGCTTTGTAGTTAATTAATTGCATTTTAATCGCATATAAATATTTTACTTGAGAACAGTGAAAAGTTATTTTTTTCACATGGATTTTTACTTTACCATTGAATAATGACTGAATACATAAGCTTAAGCAAAACATGTTCATTGTGGATAATAAGGGGATCAGACGGACATCTTTCCCATCAAATAACGTACAGTGGGGCAAAAAAGTATTTAGTCAGCCACCAATTGTGCAAGTTCTCCCACTTAAAATAAAGACAGAGGTCTGTAATTTTCATCATAGGTACACTTCAACTGTCACATTCACATTCACATTGTAGGATTTTTAAAGAATTTATTTGTAAATTATGGTGGAAAATAAGTATTTGGTCAATAACAAAAATTCAACTCAATACTTGGTAATATAACCTTTGTTGGCAATAACCGAGGTCAAACAATTACTATAGGTCTTTACCAGGTTTGCACACACAGTAGCTGGTATTTACGTCCATTCCTCCATGCAGATCTTCTCGAGAGCAGTGAACACGGACTTTCAACTCCCTTTTTCAATGGGGTTGAGGTCTGGAGACTGGCTAGGCCACTCCAGGACTTTTAAATGCTTCTTACGGAGCCACTCCTTCGTTGCCCGGGCGGTGTGTTTGGGATCATTGTCATGCTGGAAGACCCAGCCACGTTTCATCTTCAAAGCTCTCACTGATGGAAGGTTTTGGCTCAAAATCTCACGAGACCTGGCCGCATTCATTCTTTCCTTAACACGGATCAATCGTCCTGTCCCCTTAGCAGAAAAACAGCCCCAAAGCATGACGTTTCCACCCCCATGCTTCACAGTAGGTTTGGTGTTCTTGGGATGCAACTCAGTATCCAAACACGACGTGTTGAGTTTATACCAAACAGTTCTACTTTGATTTCATCTGACCACATGACATTCTCCCAATCCTCTGCTGTATCATCCATGTGCTCTCTGGCAAACTTCCGACGGGCCTGGACATACACTGGCTTCAGCAGGGGGACACGTCTGGTACTGCAGGATTTGATTCCCTGTCAACGTAGTGTGTTACTGATGGTAACCTTTGTTACTTTGGTCCCAGCTCTCTGCAGGTCATTCACCAGGTCCCCCCCGAGTGGTTCTGGGATTTTTGATCACCGTTCTCATAATCATTTTGACCCCACGGGATGAGATCTTGCATGGAGCCCCAGATCGAGGGAGATTATCAGTGATCTTGTATGTCTTCCATTTTCTGATAATTGCTCCCACAGTTGATCTGTTCACACCAAGCTGCTTGCCTATTGTAGATTAACTCTTAACTCTATATTGTAGATTAACTCTATATATATATATATATATATATATATATATATATATATATATATATATATATATATATATAACCACTGTAACCACTCCTCCAGCTTCGGGGTCACTGCCCCGGGTGCACCGATCACCACGGGCACTACCCATTAC